TACTCAAATCCGGTTTGTAGTGTTATCAGACTATTCTTAACTTATAACTTAAACATTCTCTTTATCTATCTCTTACGGTTTGGCCGCTGAAACAGCACCACGGACGGACGGACTTGTCTATTAGATAAGAGATATATAAAACTCAAAGGTGACTGACTTACTGACATAGTAATCTATCAGCGCACAGCCCAAACCACTGGACGGATCGGGCTGAAATTTGGCATGCGGGTAGATGTTATGGAGTAGGCATCCGCTAAGAAAGGATTTTGATCAATTCTACCCCCAAGGGGATAAAATAGGGAATGAAAGTTTGTATGAAACTTTGTCAATTTTAAACCGATCGAGCTGAGACTGCATGCAGTACTTTCGTCTTTATAATATTAGTGTGATTTAATAAGGATACATTGTTTGTTAACTGGCTAGCAGCCGGGACCAATAAAGTGCCTTCCGAAGCACGGAGGAGCTCGAGATTGTAAATTTTTGGTCACCCATCCAATGACCGACCACAGGGAAAGTTGCTTAACTTCAACGATCGCAGCCGAACGTGCTAACCGTTTGCGCCATCGAACTCCCCAATTCTATAATAATAAGTAAGTATAATTCAATAAATATTTGCAAAACCGTTAAGTATATTTGCCAAGAGTGAAATGTTAAATTTGAAAATTTCGTCTTTTAATAACATAAATAATATAGTAACTACATACATAAATTTTGACGACCTCCGTGGCCGAGAGGTTTGTTCGCTGGGTTTCATGGTGTCGCAGACTCGAGACGTCCCGGGTTCGAATCCCGGTGGGGGCAGATGTTTGTGTGATGAATACGAGCATTTGTACTCCAGTCATGGATGTTTAATATGTATTTCTATATAAATATACTTATAAATGTACAGTATATGTATTCTATCCGTTACCCTAGCATCCCATAACACAAGCCTTACAGTGCTTACTTTGGGGCTAGGCTAATTGGTGTGAGTGTTGGAAATATTTTTTTTTTGTATAAATTATAAATATCTATGAAGTATTTGCCAATTTAACGTTGCCATTTAAATCTGTTTAAAAATTATAAAAAAGTTGTAAAGTCATATATCTACTGTTGTTAATAATGAAACTTTGCCAAATCTTGTACATGTGAAATAAAAAAGTTCCAAACAAATTTTGTGTCAAACATGTACATCTTTAAATATAAAACTCAAAGGTGACTGACTGACATAGTGATCTATCAACGCACAGCCCAAACCACTGGTCGGATCGGGCTGAAATTTGGCATGCAGGTAGATGTTATGACGTAGGCGTCTGCTAAGATAGGATTTTGATCAATTCTACCCCCAAGGGGATAAAATAGGGAATGAAAGTTTGTATGAAACTTTGTCAATTTTAAACCGATCGGGCTGAGACTTTGCATGCATGTATAAGAAGAATCATAGATGAATGTCATTGTGTATAGTACAAGCCTGAGAACAAAAACTGTAGTCTACACTTCAGCTCTACACCGAAGCGAAGCGAGGGCGGGCCGCTAGTGTGAAATAAAAAATGTTCCAAACAATTTTGTGACAAACATAAAAAAAAACTTCTCTGTTCGAGCTGTCATACATTTGAAAACTAAACGACTAATTTGACACTTTCCGTCTACACGAGCTTTTAAAAATGTCTTGTGGGAGTTATTCAATTGCCGCGACTATCCGCTATTTTCTCGCTCAAGAAACGTACAATAATACCTACATCATCATCATCATCCTATTAAAGGCCTATAAATTTCCTACTGCTGGGGCACAGGCCTTCCCTATGGTTGGAATAGGGAGATTGGGCCATGACCCACCACGCGGGCCCAGTGCGGATTAACGAGTGCTAACGACAACAGATTCAGCCGGGACCAACGGTTTAACGTGCCTTCCGAAGCACGGAGGAAATGGAGATAATAGATTTTTGGTCACCCATCCAATGACCGACCACTGTGAGAGTTGCTTAACTTCAACGATCGCAGCCCAACGCGCTAAACACCCGCGCCATCGAGCTCCTCAGACATAGTACCGACATTCCGTGTAAATAAAAATGAAATAGATGCATATATTAACAATTGAACGCTGACTGTTCACACTTTCGACGCGAACTCTTTTCACTAGTTTATCGCTGAGCGATACTGGCTCAACGATGCTTGTTTGTCTCAAAACAATGTCTCCGCGAAGGAGGCGCGAGTAATCGCCCTTTTTTGGAGTTAACTCCTTAAGAATCGATTTGCATATATAAGGGGAACGGTATGAGAAAAATGTGAGGAGTAAAATCTATCGATGAATGACATTAATGACCTCGTTACGTTTTTGTGCGCAACCTCATCTGCGCACCCTTCACTTTTAGCCATGGCAACGGATAAAAGGTTAAGTTGTCACAAATGTCAATAAAATAAATAAACTAAAAATAGATAAAATCGGAGCAAAATTAATGAAAACAAATAAATAACAGAATATAGAGAAATGCCGGTAAGTGTCCAGCACTCTGGAATAGTGATTTTCAGTACAGATGGAATATAATACATATTTACAAAATGATGACTAGTGTGTGGTATTTTTGAAATTGTGTGATTCCAGAAATACATAATAAAATATATGATGAATATCAATCAATGATGTCAGATGATAAAATGTGTGACATGGAACCTATGATAGTCGAAACCATGGGACGATTCCTGAGGTATCTCTACTTGTAACCGACTTCTTCGGACTTGATTTTGTTTTGTGTCTGTTCAAAGACAATCGTTTTTAGAGTGTAAACTCCGGTCGTGCGTCGGAGCTGACACACACAATTTTTTATTTTATTAATGTGTATGCTGTTGGTCGCATATGACCTTTACAGCGTCACCGGGTTTGGGGATCGCGAGATCCTAAGGGTACCCCAAGCCGAGAATTGGCGAGCCTCTAGAGGTATTCCAGGCGGATGGCATCTCCCCACGGGGGGAGGCTCCTCTCCGTCTGGAGCCTCTAGACCACTCGAACCTGAGGGGGTCGGCTCAACTAGAGGGCGTCTCGAAGTCGTCGATTGATACCCAAAAGGTGACGATGAAAACCATAACAAATACATCCCTATTAATGAATACCTATTGTCTCTACCGTCCTATCTGTCACGGGGCTTTAAGTATCATTCAAACAAAGATATTGAAATATAAAGGACATCGCTAAGAAACTGCCCTTAACGTGTATAAATATTTCGCACTAGTCCGTATTTTTTTTATTAATTATTACGTTTTTATTATTTCCATGCAACTTTCGTGAAATAATTAAAAAATATAAAAATTGACTTCTTGTCTGTTTAAAAAGCAAAATGTTCCGTTTTACAAAATAAATGAACAATAAATGTACACAAAAAATATTTGTGTAAGTATATCGAAATAAACAATGTTATTTTTAAACTCCTTCAAACTACGTATGACATATTTGGCCCTAATTTTTATTATAATAAATCACTGAAAGCCTAAAATAATAAATGTTATTATTCTGATCAGGCTTGAGACAAGGCTGTATGATAATTAATCCTTTAATTTTTGCAAATGGACAAAATAAAACTTCACAGATTTCCTGTCAGGCCGACGATAACAAATTATTTGTTTTATTTTTGCTTTAAAAAATCTTTTTGTGAAGAGATAATCAAGTAAATGGGAACAAAGATTCTAAGAAAATGCGAAATTGATGACTCTGTAAATAATTGGTAACTGTAGTAAGGTAATGACATAGTAGGATTTTGCGTTCTCATAATTTTCAAGATTGTGACTTTATCAAAAGTTCCTAAGCCTTTTTTCATAGAAAATTGTAAATATTCAGCCATTTATAATTAAATATTACTAAGTACAGTATTTATACATTGCCAGGGCAGTCGCTCATACAAAACTTCACCATGTCCTTTTATTGTGCTTGCGTGCTTTTGAATGGCAGAAGAAAATTTCACAGAATGGTGTGTTACTGTAGCTGGCTATCCAAGAGTTAAAGGAATTCTTAAAACTGTATACCCCTCGGTATACAGTTTTAAGTAAAAAAATGGCCTTTTTTTCTTAATTTTCAAATTCATTTTAAATTATTATAAACACAATTCTTATCAGAAATAAAATAATCATAAAAATTGAAGGGGATCGCCATACTTAGAAAGTGATTTTTACGATTCGTTTATGCTTGATGGACCTAAGTATTTTTAAATGTTGTAGGTATCTGCCACGAATAGTACGAAATCATTACTGATTTTTTTAATGACGTAGGATCTGAAAGTTCTCTTCAGTCTCTATTTATGGACTCGTTAATTGATTCGTGACCATAAAAAAGTTAAATGAAAAAAAAAAAACTATTTAAAACAAAAACCTACCACAATATTTAGGAATTCTGTTTTCCTTTGCATGTTATTCGTCAAAATAAAAAAAGTATCTCTGAACGTGTAAATACCTATGCTTTGTAAATACCAACACATCACATTAAACAGTATAGGTAATAACATTAATTATTTTTTTCAACAAACAGTCTATTTGCTTTATGAAAAGGGATATCTTCCAGACAGCCACATATCTTTTTCATAACAGACGAAATAGTTAAACGCTCAATGAAATATTCATTTTTAGTTTTCATGACGTCATAAAAACACAGAGTCACACTGGACGTGCCCCCGTATCAACCAGAAACAGCAATTAATGTTAATTTTTTCCTCCCCCCGAACAACCCCGTACAGTAAAATAAACAATTTAATAACGAACAACAGCATTGACGTCCACACAACGGCGAAATGACAACTTCACCTTTATTTAAATCCAACATACTGACATTACAATATAATAAACACAGGCCGAAAATAAAATAAAAAAAAACGTTGGGAACAAAAAGAATGAACCGAACGCCCGCCGTACAGCCAAGAAAGTATTCCAACATATTTATAAGCGAATAAAAAAAAAGCAGGCCCCGCCTACTATGGGGGATCGTTCAAAAACCACGCCTCGTTGTAGTGGGGAACGACGGTACCATTCGCCAGTCAGCGGTCGCGTTCGCGGTTTCGTACTACGACGAACGGTGACGTCCAAGGAATATTTCCCTGGCTGTTTGAACCATTAATCTGCAGCCCGCACTTTGGTTTTTCGAAGAAATCCCACGGGACGTTACGCGCGCGTTTTGACAGTTCTATATATATTTTTTAATAGTTCCGCGATTTAGTGCAAAAAGTTTGTGGTGTTGAGTGACAGTTTTTTATGGGTGTTTGAGAAAAAGAGTTTGACTATGGCGGATTTTACCGGGATTTTCTCATGATTCCCCCTCTATTTCAGGTAAGAGTAATGTTATTTTTATAAAATTCGAAAGATAAATTGGGAAGTTTTCCCTAAATTGGACTTTTTATACTTTAAATAGGTAACGCATGTCAGGCAAATGTAATGACATGATTTAAACTTTTTATTGTACATGTAGGAAAAAGGTATGCGTTAGAAAACCAGTGAGAGACGGAGGCCTTATCGCTGAGAGAGATCTCTTCTTGATAACTTAAGCTTTGTGCAATACTAATCTGTGGATATGTAATTGGCTGCAACTGAGGTACAATTTTGTCCCTATCTATTCTTATTATTTGACGACCTCCGTGGTCGAGTGGTTTGTACGCCGGGTTTCATGGTGTTGCCGACTCGAGAGGTCCCGGGTTCGAGTACCGGTGGGGGCAGATGTTTGTGTGATGAATACGCGCATTTGTACTCCAGTCATGAATGTTTCATATGTATTTCTATATAAATATACTCATATATGTACAGTATATGTATACTATCCGTTACTCAGCATCCCATAACACAAGCCTTACAGTGCTTACTTTAGGGCTGGGCTAATTGGTGTAAGTGTTGGAAATATTTATTATTTATTATTATTATTATGCATCGGATAGAAACAATTGAAATTTGATCTTTTTATTATTTTTTGTTAAAAACAAAGTTTAAATAGGTATAAATTAATTTGTCTCAGGATATGTATACTTAAAAAGATTTGGGCTGTGTAGAAAAATATCAAGCGAAAAAGGTAACATACAAAAATATTTGAAAAAGATAATGTACTCCAATAATTAAAATGTTTAACAAAATTACGAAACAAGGCGAATTGGGAGCTAACCGAGGGTTCCATACAAATTTTTAGGTACGCAACATAAATGGCAGTAGGTATTTTTTTAACGTTAATTTAAGAGTGTGATTTTTGGGTCTACCTTTTAGCGCAGAACTTATTCCCCCTTAAATAAAACTAGTTTCAACGGTATAGATGCACTGATTTATTTATTTATGACATTTCACATCCTTTTCAGGATGCGTCCCATTCCCCCTTATTCTAAAGCACAGACTAAAATAAGTCTTATTTTAAACTTAACGCTGTCTCTGTTTTCATTGAAAAAAAAAAATTACAGCTTCAATTTTAGTTCAGGTTTAACTTTAGTCTACATTTTGTGAAAAGGCAGTTGATATCATAATATTATTATGCATATCACTGGATAGCGTAAACTTTATTTCGCAGAAAATCATTTGACATTAACTCATTTAGGCAGACATTTAAATGCTTAATTCTGTAAGCCACAAAAAATATAGTTGACAACCTTCGCGGCCGGGTGGTTTGTACGCCGGATTTCATGGTGTCACCGACTCGAGAGGTCCCGGGTTCGAATCCCGGTGGGGGCAGATGTTTGGGTGATGAATACGAGCATTTGTCTTCTAGTCATGATTGATATTTCTATATAAATTTACTTAAATACGTACTGTATATGTATTCTATCCGTTACCCTAGTATCCCATAACACAAGCCTACAGTGCTTACTTTGGGGCTAGGCTAATTGATGTGACTGTTGGAAACATTTATTATTATTATTTATTGAAAAGCAGGACCATCATATCGCAGAAAGTTTACAGTCAGAATCATCTTTTGGGTTACAAAAAAATTACCTTTTCTATGGTGACTGACGGTTCGCCTAGCCGATGCCGTGGCACGCTCGCTACGCTCGCTCGGCTCGCGCTACGACTAGGTCACAACACGAACCTAACCTAACCCACTGTCTACAAATACAGATAACGCTTAACGAAATTACGCAGATTAAAAATCTGCCAAAGGTTTATTATGCTTAATAAAATTCTGCCATTTCAAAAGTATGCTATTGTGAATTGGGAGATATAAACGTTCGGAAAATTATTATTAACTAGCAAACCAGTGAACCAAATGTTCACCAAAACCTGATTTAAAAAAAAATGTATTTAATTAATTGAGAACTTCAGAGATTTTGTGTGGTTTCGTTTGAAATTCGTGATTTCTCGAAAACCGGAAGTGCTACGTTACTCAAATCCGGTTTGTAGTCTTATCAGACTATTCTTAACTTATAACTTAAATATTCTCTTTATCTATCTCTTACGGTTTGGCCGCTGAAACAGCACCACAGACAGACGGACGGACTTGTCTAATAGATAAGAGATAATAATAATATATTATTTATTGTATAACACCACAAAGAACATAACAGTAAGATTACACTGACAGAGATACATTACACAATGAGCGGCCTTATTGCTTAATAGCAATCTCTTCCAGGCAACCCATGACGGAAAATTAAATAAGTATATAAGAACAAAAAAAGGGGGGAAGGGTGTAAGAGCAATATTATAAAATAAAATATAAACGGTAATAATAATATAGATGCATATTTTTATGAAAAAATAAACAAATAAATAAAGGAAAGAGATATTAATTATATTTAAAAAAAATACGGCTTACAAAATATTCGTTTAAAGAAGATTATGCCAAGTCGGTTATGCCAAATGAATTTCGGAGCAACAAGATTATGTCAGATAGAGGGAACTCCTGATTTTTTCACAGCTTCAAGGGACCGTAAGCTTGGGTACATGATTATATTTTTAAACATTTAACTGCTAGATATTTTAAAAAAAACACGAACCAGGCAATAGACGGATGTCGAACCTGCACCCTCCGCTATCCGAACGGATGCACTGACTTAAAAGTATATGGTTTAAATTGCAACTTGATATCTACACGCCTTCCCAAGATAAAGGGTCTTGACAGACAGACAGACGGAAAACTTATTAGAATCCTAAAATCATGATATAGTGTCTATTTGTATAATTATTATGAAAAAACCTTAAGTCATAATAAACCTTTATCAGAGTAAACGAGTTTTTATAAGCAAATAAAATGTTTTTGATACATTCAACAAGTATTATGCTTTTTGGCGGGATCGGGCAGCGTCAGTTTTGTTTTTCTTGTTAAAAATTGTGCTGTGGCGATGTTAGTGTCTAATAATGGTGGATTATTAACCACTAAGTGTTCGGGAACATGCACAAGTGTTGGCAAGTGAAACAAAATAGCGGAAAGTGTCTTTCGACGTTCCCTCAAGAAGTCCACGGGGAGGTTCCAGTAAATCCCCACACTTTTACTGAAACATAGGGAAAGGGGGATTGACTTGACTGCCGCTTACTTTGACTTGATTTATTACTTTGACCACGAGTGCTATAGTATTTGTAAACATTTTAACACTTGACATTGGCTAAATGCACAAGCCGTGCTAAGTCATTTAGAAAAAAAACACGTTTTAAAACATTAATAAGGGTATATCGATATCTGCGCCCGTGGCTGAATAAAACTCGTATTCATTGCTGGAAATTGAAAGTGCTGAATCATGCATGGCTAAACCGTATGCAAAAGAAAAATATTTTAAATATAACCAAGTTTCAACGGGTTAGATGCACTGATTTTATTTATTTATTGACGTTTCGCATCCTTTGCTGGAATGCGTCAAACCTTTTATTATTTAATGAGTGATGTGCGTGAGAACCTGAGAAAGATAATTTTATACTAGAAAAAACTCGATTTATGTTTCTGATGGGGTTCAAACCCGTATCTTCTGCCATTCGGGCGGACTTACCAAAACCTTTTAACGTTAATTTAGAATTGTGATTTTCGGATCTACCTTGTAATGGTAGCCATACACACTACGAGAAATCGTTACGATCAGACTGTACAGTTCGAACGGAACAGTTTCTCGTACGTGGCTTACGTAGAGGAAACTGTGCAGTTTTGTAACATACACGCTACGATTTATCAGTACCGTTCGGACGGTACAGTCTAATCGTAACGATTTCTCGTAGTGTATATGGCTACCGTAACGCAGAACTTATTTCCCTTATTCTAAAACACAGACTAAAATAAGTCTTGGTTTAAACCTAATGCTGTCTCTGTTTTCGTTTTAGCAATAATAGCATTAGTTTTAGTTCAGGTATAATTTTAGTCTAGGTTTTGTAAAAGGCGATTGTTATCATAATATCAGTGGATAGCGTAGACTTTATTTCGCAGAAAATCATTTGGCATTTTTTTCATTAAGGGCATTAATCTTTGGGCATACATTTTTATTTTATTAGAAAAAATCTACTCGGTTTATGTTTCTGATGGGGTTCAAACCCGTATCTCCTGCAATTCGGGCGGACTAACCAAAAATTGTGGATCTTACCCACAATGCGAAGAGATGGCGCTGCCTTGCAATCTAAAAAATACTATACGAAATTCGATACTGGCATTGAGGTCTCCGAAGTATAATTGGTTAGTTCGTCCACCTGGACAGCGGAAGGTGCAGCTTCGAATCCCGACTGAAACCTGGAGGAGCCTATTTCGACGAAAAACGAAATTTCGATCGCAATTTCGCACGTTCCTTACTCTGTTTCTATTTTTATTTCGAAAATTCGTTCGTCCGAAAATAGTTTGACATTTAAATTCTCCAAGCCTACTCTAATTCACAAAACTTTCGAACTATAAGTTGACGAGTGCTTATAACAGCCTAATCTGAATAAATGATTTTTATTATGATTTTCTAATATATCACATAGCCATCTTTTGTACACAGTATTATAAGCGAATAAAGAATCTTTGAAACTAAATCCATTTTTATGACCTATAGCATACAGCCTGTGATTTTTTCATAAATTCATACGACATAGATTTTCTTTTATATCAATTTAATATTACATTATAACATAATTTATTTAAAATTAAACATTGATTTATTAATTGCACTATTTATTGATTATTAATTGCATTTATTATTATTGAATATTAATTACATTGTACTTTACTGAAGTGAATGTTGTGTGTGCTTGTAAAGGCTTGCATACATGTCTTAGAAAAAGTATTATTTTATTTTTTAATGTATTTATATGTTTAGCTGTAAGTACATGTATTAAATAAATAAATAAACAATACGTCCGTCATCTCTTTGGTGATTGGAACTTTTACTAACAATATCCCGGAGCAT